CGGCAGGTTACCCAAATGACTCTGGCGGCAGGTTACCCAAATGACTCTGGCGGCAGGTTACCCAAATGACTCTGGCTATTAACCCTCTGCAGTCAGTGGCATGTGGCAGCAGAAGGGGGTCTGTTTTCTTAAAATGTAACGGTCCCCTTTCTATTTATGATCTTATAGTGAGGTTTGTTGGTTTCTTTAAAACGTCCCTTCTCTGAAAATGCTGTTTGACTGGGAGGGGAATACCACTCTATCACAGGACAACACACACACACATACAAAATGCATTAAACACTTCAGTTCCTCCCATAGCCCAAAGACATTCAGGCTATCTGGTGTCTGTAAATCATCTGTAGTGTATGATGTGTGTGAGTGACACATATCCACCTGTGATGGACTGGCATCCCCTCCCCAGGTGGGCCCCGGCCTTGTGCCCCTTGCAGCCTGGGATAGGCTCCAGGCCCCTTATGATCCTGACCAGGATAAACTGTTGGAAGTTGGATTGATGGTTTAACAGATGTGAATTTCTGGCAGTTGATTTCAAGCATCTGATTCCCACCTCGGGGATGAACTGACCTCTAAGGCACCCTCTGGCTGCAGAAGTAGGTGCCGTAGAGACAGGACTAGACACAAGGGAACGGGTTGTGATGACCTTGACACTGCTAATTAACCCTGGCATCTAATTAATTGCCACCCAAGCCATTTGCCTCAAATTGTTTTTCTCAAATTGCTTTTCTATCAACAGCATGCTCTATGAAATTGGCTGATAATCATGTTTTAGCATGCGTGTGCCTGTGAGTATGTGGGTGTGTGTGTTTTGAGTGTGAGTTTGTGTGCACGTGTGTGCATGTGTGTGCACGTGTGTTTTTACTGGACTTCGGTAAAAACAAACACCTTATAAAGTATTAAAGCGCTTTCATGAGCTCCCTGCCTCATTACAATAATGGGGATCATTATCTTCAGAGCACTGGAGTGCGTGCGAGGGAAAAGAGCCCTTTCATATCGCCTTAATTTCTATTGGGCCCATGCCGTTTGATTATAATGCTGGCATGGCTGAGATCCGTGCCACGCCCCCTCGTCTGCGCCTTCAAAGTTCCGTTTACGTAGGAAGAGCGGCCTGCGTTTCGTTTGAATTCGGGTACGATACGGCCTGGTTTATATTGCATCACTTTAATATGTTTCACGGGTTATTACATCAAATGGAGAAAGTGGGAAATTAGCCAAGGGCTTCATTCATTTGCATAGGACTGAGATACGACAATAAAAACACAGCGTAAGAAACTGCCGTGCGATTGTCGCCATAATGGGGAAGTGGCTTCGCGGCAGGTTTTCTTTAGGCCATTACCTCCATTCGGTGACGCCGTTCCTGAGTTTCTCACTGCCAATGACGTTGGATGTGGCGTCGCCTGTTTCGTCTGGCCTTGTTTTAAATTCTGTAGAGCTGATGCTTGTCCTGAATGCAGGCGGCAGTGCATGTGCTCCTTATCCACCCTCCGGTGTTCCTTCTGCAGGGTTTTTGGGTACCATTTACTTGGTGTGTTCTTAAAGGTGAATTACGATAACTGATGATGTCATTTTAAAAGGAGGGTCACAGGGTGTGCCAGTGATTATTGATGGATGAATGAAACGATGAAGATGCAAACAGCAGCATCCACGCCGACCTCTTGCGGTCCCTCTCTCTGCAGCTGGCCTCTGGCATCTACAGCTTCGCGTGTTCGCTGTGGAACCATCACACGGCCACCTTCCTGCAGCAGGTCTGCTCCGGGGACGAGGCGGCTGCCATCAACTCGCTGGAGAGGACCCTGCTGTCACTGAAAGGTCTGTCCCCCACCCCCACTTCCTGCATCGCTCGCAAGATGAGCTCCTCTGATGAGGCAGTTTGTCAGGTGTTTGACTCCAGAAGGAGCCAGTTGATGAGCTTCTAAAGACAGTTAAGGGACATGGGCTTCTTTGCATGAACCACCCCGTCCCCTCATTTCACATGCACACACAGATACAAGGCACCCATGCACATCTCCCCATACGTCAGACTGGTGGGCCAGTCCTGTGCATGTCTGCGCTGCAGGAGTTGGCTGTTGGACCCCCCAGCAGCAAACTCGATGTGGACATAAACATGTCTGTACACGCAGGAAAAAGAGAGTAGCGATTTGTCTCTTTGCGTGTCCCTAACCCTAACCCTAACCCTGGGGTTTGCCAGTTATACCCTAGCTGTAGGTAAATGTACCTTTTAGTTTAATTTAAGGTATAGAAATGGACTGTGAGAAACATCCCCATGGTGCAAACAACATTAATGTATGGCCAGTGGTACAAAAATGTTCCTTAGTCCATTTCTGTGCCTTCCCCCGCCCAGTGCTGCGGAAGCTGACCGTTCACGGATTCAACGAGCCGCACCACAACATGGAAGTGATGGTGAGTCAGACGCCCTGCATCACAACAGCATCTCAATTTAGCGCCAGGTTCTCCCCAGTGGAGAAGGTTCTGTCCGTAACGGTTTCCTTTAAATCCGACTGGGCTCACCGTCACCACCCTCAGCCCCGTCATTTTCCTCTGGATAAATGGAGAGATGGTGTGATGATGTCCCCTTCTTGCGGTGTCATTTACACATAGGTCATGCTTCAAATTATTGTTCAGATTAGTCCCCTCCGGGGTCAATACAATCAGGGTGTTGAAGGCCCCCATTTCCGTCCTATTAATGAGAGCTGCTACGTATCAGTTCAGTGTCCTTTCTCCTCCATCCATGTCCGCTGTCCCTTAGGGTTTCCGTCTGTGGGTTACCCCCCTCTTTAAAGATGTCGTTGTTGCCCGTTAAGGCCCATTCTGCGAGCTCAGATATGCGTTTCACCTTTAATTTTTAGAAGATGGTGATTAGCGCTCTCAGCTGCTTCTGTCTTCTCCCCACGCTGGCACCAAAGGGTCATATCAGACGTAGATCTAAATTACTTTCTCCCAGAGGCATTTTTCTCAATTGGGAAAGTTGCAAACGAATTACGAATGAGTTTGGTAACCGACTTGAAGGCTGTGTCGTAAATCCGCACATGGTAAGGTTGATCTTGAAGAGGCCGACATTAATGTGGGTCAGGAAGTTTGTTTTTAAGTATTTTGTGCCGGGAGCATAAACGGCTTGGTGGTGTTTTGGTGCTTAGCTTGACCAGGTTTGATGTATCGCAGGGTTGGGTTCCCCAGTTCCAGTCCAGAAGGGCCAGTCTGCCAACTCACCTACGAAACCTGGCAATTAACTGGTGAGCTGAATGTGTTTGAGCAGGGAAATCTGCAAACTGTGTTGCAGACTGGCCCTCCAGTACTGGATTTGGGGAACCGTGACAAACAGCATAAGTCATTAAAAAAGCCAGCTCAGATTATTTAGGTTTGTAGGGTGATCCTACTCCAGCCGCAGTCAGCAGCGGACAGGGAAGAGAGATGCTTTTATTTATTGCTGTCTTGTAGAAGAAACCAGCGTTGACTTATTGTGGAAACTATGATTTCTCAGCTGTCAGCGGAAGCAGGCTTTTTGAAACGTTCAGAGAGAAGCGCAGTAGTGCCCTTGAGCTGGAAAAGAAGCGGCCGTGTGAATAGGGGAGAATGTGAGGGTGGTAGACGGCTTTATCTGAAGGTATCCAACAAAGAGTCATTGTGATAACATTTGCAATAGGCTCTCAGTATTTCCCCGGTTACCTCATTTCCGGGTTGTGACCCTGTGACGCTAATTGATGGAAAACCTATCACTGCTAGATAACAGCTCGATATGGGTGATGTCATCTAGTGCCATACAAGAACACCTTGCCTAGTAGCCAGTTCTCTCTACTTTTTCTTTTTTCTCCGTTGTTGATAGAAACATTCGTCTTGCAAAGCTGGGACCTGTCTATAAGGTGGACCTGCATTAACCTCCACAGTTCAGCACAGCTGCAGGCTGCTTAAACATGAACGAGTGGGATGCAGAGCTAGATTAGGAGTAAAGTACGTATTAATTTCAAGATGGTTTAGGCTCTTACTCGCGTGGTTTATGTTTCCATTTTGGAGCTATCACTCCTAGATGATCAGTTGAATCATTAATTTGGGAGGCATGTAAAGTTGTCCTCACTGGTCTCATTTGGCTGTGATTGCTTTCATTTATTTTCATGGGATTAACCTCAAAATGAAAATCTATCAGGAAATGTCTATACTGACGTTCCTCAAATGGCATCTGTCTGCATTATTCATAAATGTATTTTTTTCAATCAATGTTACTGTATATTTACTCATTAATTATTTGTCATTAATCGATCCTATTTTATAAAGGCAAATAAAAATGATTTTAATAGGCCCCTGCTGCAATTTAAAATCCATTAATCTGCCAGATTTAAAAGTTGGTTGCAGCCAAATAGATTGAACTGGACAATTTACCGGAGGCGATGTTTAATATTGAAATTGATATTTGTTCATTCTGGACAATTAGGCACTAATTAGGTAGCATATAGTGCTGCCAGTAAAGTGAAGCTTTACAATCAGGCACATTCAGTGGGAAGATGGGGAGGGTGTTGCACGTGAACACGGATGTGAAGATAATGCGATTCTGCCCGGCGAAGGCACTGCATTTTTCACGGCTTGCGACGGCTGTGTCGGACCCCGGGGCTCGGCGGAACAGGCCGCCCGCCATGATTCGCGCATCCTCCGCAGGATAAAAGATAATCGCCATCGGAGAAAACTCATCATCGCATGGAAGAAATCTCATCGCTCAAGTGTAAAAATCCACACCCGCAATGGGGTGGGGGAATTAAAAGGGCACTTTCTCATCGCAATTTTCAGGCACCTTCAAGACATAATTCACTTGGTCCGTCCCGCCACATGGCTCAGAGTGTGGCATCTAAATACATAACTGTGTCACAGGGTTATTCCGATACCAGTGATTTAACAGAAGTGCTGTATTGTTCCAGTGCTGAAGTATCTGTGTGTGTGTGTGTGTGTGTGTATTTGCCCTGGAGTTTCCTTGGATTTAAGTTTTCTTCCAGCCTTTTTTGGTCACAGAATGCCTGACTGAAAGAAAATGTTATGTGTCACGTCACGCCCTCACTGTCCTGTCGCTGCCTTATTCCTGTCCTCGCTCATTTATCTGTAAGACCTATGCCCCCCTCCCATTACCCAGGGCCTCTTGAAATCCTAAAAATCTACACCTTTTGGTGTAGGTTTGGTGTAGATATGGTTTGGTTTATGAGGGATTTGGGATTTGAATGCTCGCTGGAGAATGCGGCTTTAACTTTACAAGACAGTTTCATATTTCCACATGACAGCACAGGCTTGTCAGCTTTTTGAAGTCAACGTGAGGCATGCAATTCTGTAGTTATACATCAAGGAAGCATAACATTTTCTATTATCTGCTGTGCATATATCAATTACTCTTCAATGGGTGTTTGTCATATATGTACTTTTCCTTTTAGCCTGAAGTATGTAGTTTTCGTTTATTTTAGCAGAGTCTTATAGGTAACTTAGAAACCCTTTAAGAAGTTCACAAGAGAAGAGTTCTGAGTTTGTGACAGGAACTTTTTGAATAGTTGGAAGACCAGTGTGTACGGCATTGTCCGCTGTTGCAGGCTAACATCCGTCCCAGGGAGCATGGTGCAGGGGTCACGCCGGATGAAAACTTGATGTCTTTGAAAATGTGTCATATGAATGAAGAGCCAGTCTTAGTCCCACAGTGGATGAAGAAGATCTGGTCTTTTGTGTCATGGGCTGCATGCGAAGGCGGCAATTAAACTAAATATAAGGATCACATCTAGGTAACGTGTCAACCAGAATGAATTAGAGTTTCTTTCATGCGTGACAGCCATGGTAATATACAAGTATTGGGCAGTGTGGTTTATGAGGGGAGTCGGCAAGTATGAAATTGATGTGCCATCACATGACTGACGTGGTTGATTCTCCAGGTGACAGGGAAATGGCCGTTACGCCCTTGATCTCTCACTCACACACACACACACTGACACACACACACACACACACACACAAAAACACACAAACAATCATAGACCATGGCCAGTTTTTAAGACCACAGTTAGACTCTGGGAGGAATCCAGAGTCATGCCTTTCCACTAACCCTGTCACTTGCTTTTTGATTGTTGCACTGTCATCCTTGGGAAATGTTGGTTTGGCCAACTAAATACCTCTGTATGTTTATTATGATGGTGAGTCCCACATGCCTTATTGCAAAAATTCAGGAGACCAGGACCCCTGCGATCCTGTGGTGTGTATCTCAGCATGCGCCCTGCAGTGGGCCAGCATCCGGCCCAGGGTGCCCCCTGCGTTTCCCCCCGCTGGGATGGGCTCCTGGACCCCTGCGATCCTGACCAGCACATGCGCTGTTGAAGCTTTACGGGGGCTGCAGGAGAGCTGAGCCCCTGCGTCCTGAGCCCTTTGGAAGGCAGCCTGCATACAGCTGTTACAGTGAACCGGCTGCGTGTGGGCAGGCGCTGTTCCGTTCGCAGTGGCAGCTGTGTAAGTGTGATGACAGCGGCGAGGTCCATGACTAGACGTAGCTCCGTACCCTCTCCGTTCCTGTCACCGTTCTGTGACTCGCATACAGGCCCCGCAAAGGGCCGACATGGCATCCTTTTTCAGTGCTCTGCAGATTCCCGTCAAAGTTTAACAAAATCTGACAGTGTAATCTGAAGAGCCTTCCTGTACTGTAAACATTTTTTTAAAGAAATAACCTGACTCTACAGATCGGTAAGCCAGATACTTCAGAATCAGCTTTATTAGCTCAGTAAGGTGACAAATTTGACTTGACGTTTTGCTCCATACAAACAACACAATGAACATTAAATAATTAAAGTAGGCATTAAAGAAAATGGGGTAGTAATAAAAACCATACTGCAAATAGTAAATATACTCTAGATGTCTATGCAGACTAGTTGTAACCAAAGCGCCTTAAATAGTGAAACTCAAAGTGGTTGTGCACCATTGAACATGTAACAAAGTTTGGAATACAGTATGACATACTGTGCTATGAAGTACAATTTCACAGACTGGCTGAGGCAAACTTTTTACATTGAAGTTAGACGGTGCATAACTAAAGAGATTTCTGAATTTTATGACAGTACTTTGTGTGTCAAGATTAGCAGTGTACACAGTGCTAAGTACTAAACATAATGAACAATATCAGTGTTCTTAACCTGTTTCAGGGGATTAGACATGAGTGTATTAGTCCTCAGTCTCTGGGTGCATCATGTAATGTTACTTGGATGCAGATCCGTGTGGTCTGTCATTGAGCAGGACCACAGCCCCTGGAAAGAAACTGTCTCTGTGCCTTTTAATTTTTACAGTCCGATATCTCACTCCTGAAGGTAGCAGCTGAAAGATGGATTTGGTCAGATGTGTTGGGTCAGTGGCAATCTAGTTTGCTCTCTTCCTGTGTCTGTTTTTGCTCTTCCAGAGAAGGGAGGCTGCATCCAAAGAATTTAAGATGAAGAGTTTCAGAGTAAGGCTGTCGGTGTACACAGACGCATTCTGGAGAACTTGGCCAAAACCGGCCTTTTATTTAAATAAATGCATACTGTATGCGGACAGCGGAAAACTGATAATTTAATGATATCATTCTTTGGCTGTGTTTATTGTTGTTAACATCCAGTTCGATCACTACCAAAGAAGCGTCATGAAGATGCACACTGAGGGGAGAAAATACATTCCTTTTGCATGTCACTTTAGAAATAATCTTACTTTAATGGAATAATGCAGCTTCCTGTGATCTGAATTGGTTTGTTATTTTGTGGTGTCTGCATGGGTACGTGCTCTTTCTTTTTTTTCTTTTTAAATTGTGAAATAGCTCTTTCATTTAATATTTACCTGCCGGCAGATCAGCTTGTGCCAAACACCCTCCCTCTTAAACCTGACATGCTGTACAGATGACCCCGCGGGCAGCAGCGTTAGCTGTCCGTCTGACCCGCAGGCCGTGGGTTGCGGGCCGGCGATGAGGGCTGCTGCTGCACCAGCCCTGGGCGCAGGTGCCTGCGGTTTAACCTGTGGTCGCATGTCAAGCATTCAGCTGAAAAAATCGATGCAAACATTAACTGTACATAAGCTGTCAAAGTCACTGTAAGTCCGCCCTGTGAGTAAGTAATAATTATTTTATAGGAAGTGCAGAAACAGTTTAAGAGTAAAGGAGCAACCTTCAAATACCGCTGAGGCGATATTTTCATTAAGTCTCGCTCAGCAGTTAAATGTTAACAAGATGCCATTTTCATTTTTAAGGTTTGCTAGCCAATGCTTATTTAAACCCTAGACTTTTACAGACTTAAGATATAATTGTATGTTTTATTCATACACACATCTGTCTTTATTTCTAAAGGTTCTGCGGCGAAAGGGCAGCTTTACGAATAGCTACAGAATATAAACTAAATTTCTTTGAGATAAGAATATGTGTGTAAAATGTAAATACAATGTATCCATCCATTCATCTTCCGGCTTCATATGCATTTAGAGCCTGGCGTCTCTCCCAGGCAGCATAGCCTGCAGAGCTGGGGTCACCCTGGAAAGGGGCTTTTAATCCCGACCTACCACGCAGTTGAGTGCACACATCCCAGAGTGCAGTGTTTCTCAGCACTGGGCCGCCTTTACAGTGAAGCCTGTACTTTTTGCACATCATTCATTAGCCAGTTACAATGCTGTAATCTCCTGGCTGTTGATCTGATATATTACACTGGTCAGATGTTGTAAAACAGTCATGCCTCTCTGATATAGACATGGCCATTAAACAAGGTTAGGTCCCCCCATGCTGTATGTTATAAGATGCATTTGCTTTTCAGCTTGATTTGTTACCTCCTGCATGGATTTGTTGGAACATAAACATAAATTCATCCGTACAACGTTTTTTTTTTTTATGTGTGTTGGTATGCTATGTTTAGGATAGGGAGAAAATGGTTGTTGGAGTGGCTTCAAGGGGAACACTGGCCTGATCTGTGATTGCTCTTCAGATCAGAGATCAGTCATCCTCGCCTTGTCTCCCTCGGACCAGACTGCCGGCCTGTTTTCTGGCCGCATGCCACATCTGATCTGGCCCAGCTGCATGCCAGATGGAGTGCTCGTACTTGTTCATCATCTCCCTGAGACCCTGCAGAGCTTCTTAATAGAGGGATCTGGCCACTTTACCTGTTGGCACGGAAACCAAGGCGGCTGATGGGCTAGATAGGGCGGCGTTGGGCCGAGACCCGAAGCAGCAGCTCCCACAGCAGCTGTTTTTGGCCACTTTGGTGAGATATCATTCTCGCCAGTCGCTAAAGGATGTGGCAATGATTACAAGTCTGATTTCCACGGCTCGGCACACAGGTAATTCTTGGTCCAGCTACTCATATACAGTAACCTATGTTTTACGTGACATGCCCAGACATTTAATCAGCATGTGATTGAAGTAAACAATGTATTTATAGAGCTTGATTTGGTGTTACAGAAATCCAGATGGAGTAGCTCACTCGGGGTAAAGCCACCCTCTCCAGGGCTCATTTGGTTCCAACCTCTGCTCATCCAAAGGCTTCACTAGGTGACTGCAACCTGCACAATGGGTTAATCTCATTACCAAGAACGCAAAGACCGAGCTTCTGGTCTTGGCAAGACTGGTCTTGCTAATTTACCATCCAAGAAAGAATTTGGGGTGCAATGAATCATGGGATTGGTCCCGTTTGGCAAGGATGCACCCGATGCATCTTTGATATTTGGGGCAGGTCAAGAACAACATCTGGGGATTTTTATTATCCCCTGTGCTTCTGTTCTTAATATTGGAACTGGTCTTCGGCAGTGGAAGATGACGTAAAGCGGGTATATGGGAATACAAGTATGGTCAAGTATGCACATTCATATTCAACCAATGTTTTCCTCATGTACTGAACTACAGCAATCCAGGAATATTGAGAGATATATGAGCAAAAAGAACAATTATTGTGCGTAATATCTGTTCTAGACCTAGTTATTCAGGTCAAGAAAGACATTGAAAGTCCTTCCCCCCAAAATAGCAGTCCATCCATCCATCCATCCATCCATCCTGCAGCTGCTGACCTGCTCTGGGTCCTGGCTTAGCTTTATGCTTTATTCCTTGACAGGGTCTTTTCATCATGGTTAGTAGTTTTGGAAATAAATATGTAAAATGGAGATGCAAAGAAAAAGTGATTTGTGGTCGAAATGTGCCATGGAGCGCATGTGCTGCTGAAATTGTTTAGGAAACACTTTCCTCTGAGTGTTCGGATTTAATTAACCCTGATCGGATTAGCTAAGCACTCATCAGTCCTGGATAAGTCTCCCGCCAGCCCCGGAGGCCCCTTCCGGCTGGCTTGTGTTGGCTGGGGCAGCCGTACCACATTTCGGGCTCCCTCTCACACTTCAGCATCCCTGCGGGGTGAACGGGTGGGGTGCCTGAAGGCGATTGGCTGGAGTCTTCCTCCTTCAGCAGGTTGGCCAGCAGATGCCTGGACTGTGTTATCTTTCACACTCTGCTCTTATCCTTGGGCATCAAACTGCTGTCCTGGCAGCAGAGAGGTTTTAAATGTAAAATGTGGCCCTTCAAGGTCGGCGCCTCCTACTGTATTTATTACCGTATTACTGACTTGGTCAGCATTACTGTTGCTTGTTTGGTATGCTGGGGGGGGGGGGCTGATGCTAATTTGGTGCTGAGAATATTAACAAGCCCCCCCAGTTTAGTCCCTGTGAGATTCAGCACGTCGTCGTCTAGTGTCAGGGCTCCATCTGCTAAATTGACTCAGTCATTTTGTTGCATATGATGTGTTTGAAGCCCGTCTAGTATTGACTTGATTGTTGGTTGCCTTCAGTCCTTCCTACGAATAAATTGAGGCCTTGATGTGTGAAAGGGATCAAACACAATCCTCCTGTCTGAGACCGCATGCCTGATCAAAGGCGGCCCCCTCCTGTAGCTGCCGTGAAACAAATACCCCACTTCACCCGTTTTGACGTAAACGCGTGTGTTAGCGTGGTGCTAGTGGAGTCATAATGAGTGCGACTGTCTAAACCCGCCCCCCTCTCTCTCTCTCTCCCCCAGGGCTTCCTAAATGCTGTATTTGAGAGACTGAAGCAATTCCTAGAGTGTTGTAAGTATGCCTATTTGTCCACCCCGCCCCCCCCCCCTCAGCCCAGTCATGATCCAGCATGCGGGAAAACACGGTCTCCCCATCGCCTTGTTTCCCCCACTGGGGTCTTTATCGCCTCATGCTGGAGGGATTAACTCGGTCTCGACGCGCGGCAGAGGGGAATAATGCTATCGTGTGCCGATATCGCAGACAATACGTTTTCATTACCCAAATGGTAGCAGCGGTGTTTATGGACTCTGTCGGCCGTGTTTTGGGAATGGAGCGATAATGGGGGCTTATGGGCTAACGATGTGGAAATGTCACGCCCTGCCTGATAAACCTGCTTTGGTCGCCACTCTGCTGGGCTGGTCCTTTATTTAGCTCTAATTCATGGCCAGTTTTAGCTTTACAACTCGACAATGCTCTTCATTAAAACCTTATTTAATGGCTATAAGTATGCGATTTAGGCCAGGAAAATAATAAGTGTTTCTATGTCTATATATAAGAACACGTATATGCTGATCATTAGAAGATATGAGCAGCATGCAGTGATGTTTGCAGGCGGCTATGGTGTTTGTGAATGTCTTCTATAAAAGCATTTGTAGTTGACTGAGGAATTATGTTTATGGTGTGTTATATGTATTATGGGGTTTCTGGTCACATTTCCTCTTTGTTTTTCACAGCAAAATGAAGCTACATTTGATTAAGTAACAGTTGGTAAACCTTAAATGTTACCAGAGCACATCCCCATCATTAACCTTAAATGTTACCAGAGCACATCCCCATCATTAACCTTAAATGTTACCAGAGCTATCTTTCCACATCCCCATCATG